TCTGTGGCTTCTTTCTGAATCTCTGGTGTTTTGAATCATCACTCCTGAATTTTAGCTATCAGGAGTGAGTGCACTATTTCAGTAGCTGTTGCATGATCCCAAATAGGAATGATTTCTTTTTTTCCCCTGTTTTTCTTCTTGTTTGGTTTGGTTTGGGGTGGGTTTTTTTTGCATTTCTGGTTGGTTAGTTGGGTTATAATTTCTGGCTGATGTTCCCCTGCTTATACATCTAAGGATTGCTTTAGATCTCAGTAGCAGTGTTGTGCTTAGACACTTAATGTCCATGCCAGGTTGTTTTGCAAGCCAGAGTTGATGACTCCACTCTTCAGTTGGCTTTACTTGGTTTGACTATATGGCCTGTCACCTTAGGTCCTGAATCCTTCTGCTTAATTTGTGCCTGGGTTAAGAAGGAAGGCCAGCTGCTTCTTTACTGATCTTCACCCTGTGCATAACTCTAAATCTTGTATGTGAGAGCTTCATAACCTGTTCCTGGCAGTGTTCAAGACCAGGTTGGATGGGGCTTGGAGCAACCTGCTCTAGTGGAAGGTGTCCTTGCCTGTGGCAGGGGTTGGAACTGGGTGAGCTTTAAGGTCCCTTGCAGCCCAAACTGTTCTGTGATTCATAGCGATTCTTTCACGTTTGTTGGTACAAGCAGTAAGCATGAGACCAAAAGCTAATGCCAGTGGGGCCTTGTACTGTATTTTATTAGGCCATAGTTGTCTTGAGACTTATGGACTAGAGTATTATATAAGTTGATGAATAAGCATGTATACATGTTTTCTCATTAATTTAGGATGTGATAGCAAGTCAGAAACCCTACAGAAGTCACAGTGCTTTTGCATCAGTACTTTTTGCCTCTTTTTGACATGAACCTGTAACAGTCCAACCTCTTTAAGAATCCAGTATCTATAAACCACCTTACTCTGTTGTTCATTAGCAAAGTAGCTGGTATAGTAATTAATCTGAAATTGTCATCAAACTTTCAGGGTCATGTGGATCATTCTGTCTGCCTTTGTTCTCCGAGTGTTCTGATTCCTTTCAGAAATCAGTATCACTTCCCAGGCATTTCAGCTAGCTCTTCGAAAATCCTTGGATACAAACTGTGAGATTCTTCTGATCTGAAATAACATCTGATGGATACTCTTTTATTTTGAGGTATTCAGTTTCGGTCAAGAAGTCAGCTGACATTTCCTGTCTAAAACAAGTGTATATGTGTGTGTGTGTATTTAATGAATGCTGCTCTGGGTGAAGATTGGCACACTCACAGGGTTTTGTTCAATGTTTGCTTCAAATTGCTTCTGAAATGTCATGGTCTCCTTTTGCTTGGGGTAAATGTAAAACCAAGCCACACTGTATTTTTTGTTAGACTCCTTTCTTAGATTCCCTGAGGTTTTCTGATTTGATCCTTGAATATTCATTTCCATGCTGAACTGTCTCCCATTAGGTAACACACACGCAGTTCACTGATGAAGAAAGGAAGTTGTCTAGTGAAACTGCTCATACGTATCACTTTCAGACTTTCTCCCCTGTAGGGGCTCCTAATTATTAGCTTTTTGTGAAATTAACCTTTTAGAAGTGTAGTAGGCCAAAATACTCGGGAAGGCGTCATCTAGCGCTGTGACTTCTGCTGACAGCGTGCCTTAAGCACATTGCTCATGTTGAAGACTCTCAGAGCAGCTGATAACCTCCTCCTTCCTTCACATGCCATGAACAGATACCTAAGAAGCCAGGTGTTTTATTTCATAGCCTAATCAGATGGTTGGCACCAGATCCCAGCAGATAACTTTTCTTGTGCTTTCTATTAAGAGATTTGTTTCACAAAGTATTTGGATCTTTTGACCTTCTTAATTGTCAATGACTGAAAAAAGCCAGTGCAGTTCTGATAGACTCCCGTCCCCGTCTGGTCACTTGTTTCTCTATAGATAGTTGCATCAGCTGCTGGTTGTGATCTGTTCAAATTGGCAGGGGCTAGATCCAGCAATGTAAGGTTTCCATGGAAATGACTTGTTGATTGCATTGAGCATTGAGCAAATTAACGTGAAAGAGTGTGGAGAAGCCTCGGACTCGGGAAAGGGAGAAGTGCTCCATGTTAACTTAATACTGAGCCACATCTTAATAAGGAGGAGACACTGATAATGAGATCAGTGAAGCTACTTGAATTGGGTGGAGACCTCAGACATTGTAGAGAGTGTGTTGTAGGTTTAGAAGTTCAAAGCAACCTAAGTAGCATCTAATGGAGGACCCGTGTGCATGCCAGTGAAGAATGTAGCAATTGGAGGAGGGAAGTGGGAGTAGATGGGTAAAGCCAATGGAAAGAGGAAAATGAATTTGTAGATGGCGCAGAGGACAGATTGCATGTGAAGTAGGAAGAAATCAGCTGTAAACATCCTAATAATTCATTGTTTCTTCAGCTTCAATACATACAGAGGAGGAGGAAGAGGGTGTGTATGTACTTAAAAGAAAAAGCAAGTCATAGACCTCTGACTGTATGTGCATTGATGTGCAGTTGTACCGCTTGGTCAGAAGCTAAACAGTTGAAGGGATGTAGGGCAGACATAATCTTGGACTTTTTCCAGGCCTATTCAATAGAAGGCGTGGGGTGCATTCTGATCAATAGCAAAGGACGTCTTTCATGGTCTCTGAGGGCTGAAGAGAATTTTATTTCCTGACAGCTAGTTTAGGCACTGGCAAAAAGTATGTGTGCAGTGCACTTGTCAAATGGTCAGCTTTGAGCTAGCGTAGGAATCTGCAGCCAGTGGGATATTGAGGAGACAAAATGCTTGTCCAGAAGCAGAATCCTTTGTCTCACCTGGGTAAACACCTACCAGCATTTTTTTCTCAGCTTTGTGCCTCTTTTTGCCAAACCATACAAATATTTCATTAAAATAATACTGCTCCATATTAATTTTGGTTTAATTGCTGAATTGTATAAATAAAAAGACCATTTAATATGTTCAGTTTCTTTCTGAGTGTACAACGTTGCATTAGACTCAGCTTGAAAGGGTAAGTGGCCATTGGCATTAGGTAAAATGATGACATGAGCCATTCTGAAGTTATGCCAAGGCACTGGAAAATAGTTAGAACTTGTGCTGATGCTCTAATAAATAAACTGTAGTCTTGCAAGTGGAGTATGTGCTTTCTTCCCACAAACTGATGAGTATTCTCTGCTTTCAAACCACTGACGTTACCTAATGCTCATGATTTGTCCCATACACTCATCATGTGCTAAAGGTGGAAAGTGAGCTAGAAAGATCAGAGCATTTGGGAATTTAAATGTCTGGATTTTGGTTTCAGTTGCACATCAGACTTCTACAATAACCTTGTCATCAAAACCCATCCTTCAGTAGCACACCATGAATGTTAAACATCAACATCGTGTGGGGAAATGCTTGAAGGGTTCGCATGAAATGTACCAAGCGTCCTACAGAGTGATAGCTATTTATTTTTACTTGTGTTACTGTCCTGAATGTTACAGAAGCGGTTTGCCTAGATGATGTTGTAGAGGCATGTGAATCTGGTTTTTGTTACGGTAAAGCTAGGTCATATTACCCCAGAAAGCAGCAGCTTCTGGACAAATACTAGTGACCTTCTGATGTGAGCTGTGCCATAAAGAGCTGTTTAGTATTTTGGTGATTGGTCTTTCCTTCCTTCCTTGGTTTTTCAATTTAATGTTCTAGTTCTATTGTAGACTTACAGTTGTGTGTTGAGGGTATTGTGTGTTTTACAGTGTCTGCGTATCCACTGGGGACACTACGTGTGACGGTCTGAAGCAGTGAAAGGGATGAGACATTAACTGCCTAGGCTTCTCATTAAGACTTGCTCTGTGGTATACTGCTATTGGTGCAGTTCCTGATGAAGAGTCCCTCTCCAGCAAACTGGTAGGCCCCCTTCAGACACTGGAAGGCTGCTATGAGGTCTCCACACAACTTCTCTTCTCCAGGCTGAACAGCCTCAACTTTCTCAGCCTGTATGACATGGCCTGAAATTCAGGGTTTGCTAAAGGAATTGCAGCTCTGAAGACTGTCCTTAGAGCAGATCCCTTGAGACCAAGTACTTCAAATCTCAACCAGTATTGCCAGGGACATTTTTTTCATCTCGAAAATGTCAAGTCTTGATGTTAATGGGAAAGCGGGGACCAAACCTCACTAACGGTAGTGGTGATACTCTGGCCTTGTGAGCACTTGAGTGAAGTCTCTAGATTTTGAATGTTTGCTGTAGAACAGCAGGGAGTTTTTTTCCCTTGCAGCTGTATTGGATTCTGTAACTTGAGCCGTCGTAACTGAAGGGCAATAAATGACTAATGTTTGCCTGCAAAATGTCTGTAACTTTGGTCCTGTTTCAGACAAAATCAGACCTTGAACAAGGGGAAGCACAGTTGGTGATAGCAGTAGTGCTAAGAGTAGGTGACAGTGTCTGTCTTTTGATGGGAAAGTGCTCTTGCGGTCGGCAGTAGACTGCTGAAACCCACAGCCACTGCATCTGCACCAAAGCACATTCACCTGTGCAGCATCCACCATGATACTGCATCCTGAGTGCATGTCACTGCATTCTGGTTCATGTTGAGATGAAAGCTAGGTGCGTGCCATCATCATCCTTCTTCCCCTTCATCTCCCCACCCCAGCACATGCCTTCTTTTGCAAAGAAGGAGAGCAGAGCAAGACTGCGCCTTGTGATGTAGCCTAGATTTCACTTCAGGTCCACACAGCAAGCTTTGACACAGGTTTTGTTTCCTAATGCAGGCAAGCTGAAGCTTTACGTGTGTGTGGGTTTGTAATAAACTTTGTCAGGGCTTGGATTTTGTTGACAGATATATGCCTGTAGAGGGCTATACTGACAGGCTGATTTCTTCAGTTACAGGAAAATGCAGGGAAATGCTTCATTTTGGTAATACAGACAACACTGTGTTTAATACCACTTATGTTAATCAGATGTAGAAACAAGTACTTGTTCATCTTGTTTGTGTGTGTATTTTGATTATTTGTGTATCTCTTGCTTCCCAGGAGACAAAGATGGCAGCAAAGTGACTACAGTAGTGGCAACTCCTGGACAAGGTCCGGACCGACCACAAGAAGTTAGCTACACAGACACCAAGGTTATCGGAAATGGATCTTTTGGTGTTGTGTATCAAGCCAAACTCTGTGATTCAGGAGAGCTTGTGGCCATTAAGAAAGTCCTGCAGGATAAAAGATTTAAGGTGAGCCTAGCATAAGTTCATAATGTTTTTATGAATGTTATCTCATTTTCTATGTCTTTCATGGCAGTGTTTTTAATTTTACTTTTTAATTTATTTTCATGGAGCTCATGAATGCAGGTAAAAAATTCAAGAACTAAAGATTAATTAGGTGGTTTATGATAAAGGGATATAGTTTAACTTGAAAATCAGTGAGTCACTGTTGTTCCAATTATGTGGAGTAGTGCAAAACAGGAAGTTAAACATCCTGATTTGATGTGCTGTTTCCAGGTCGTACACTAGATTTTTCATACAGCAAGCGACAGAAACAAGAGAAAGGCTTGTCTTATGCTTACTTCTTTCTAGCATAGACTCTTCTCCAGTCATTAGTGATTAAGCTGCTGGAAGAAACAGAAGCCTTTAGACTCTGTTCTTGATTGTCGCACATACAGGTGGAAGACTGTATTTGAGTAGATCGGGAAGTCCTCAGGCTAAGCAAGAGGATAGCAAATACTGAGCTCAGGGCAGCTTGGGTTGAAGGCAGATTACTTCCCTTCGTTACCTCATTTATAAATGTGATCTGTTGTGGTGGTTTTATAGATCTGACTTCTTCCTTCTGAAAAAGTAGCCCTCCAAATAAATACATTTTTATCTAGTTGTGTTTAAACCAAATAAAAGTCAAGGACCATCAGCAGCCTCACCGCTGCTGTTAGTCTTGTGCTTGGTACTTGGTGTGCTTGACTGCTTCCCTTGTAGTCAGGTGGCCTGCAGATAAACTTGGGCAAGCAGTGAATGATACCAAAAGTACTGTTTTTAGTGTCTGAAATCAGTGGTGTGGGTTTTCGGATCTGAAGGCCACAGCCTTCACGACTATAAAAGTATAAAGATAATTAATAGAGAAAGTGCCACAGATAATCTTCTTGGCATGGTCTTGATATTAAAACTTCCCAGCTTAGAAATAAGAAGTTGAAACATATTTAAGAAAATCAGTGATTTGAAACTCCTTTTTTGCAATTTGATACTGAGGTTTAGAAATCCTGAAGACTGTTAGATTACATTTTATAATCTCCTCAGTTCTCTCCTTTTTTCTCTTAAGACTTCACAGCTAGCTTTTACTGCTTATGTTTTAAATTCACGTCCTGTTTTTGGAGCAAAACCATTCTTTTGAAGTGTTCTAAAGGAACTGGTTTATGCCTTTTCCTGAGTCTTGAAATTAGTGCTGTCATCACCATAGGCATACCACAGATGCATTAGATGAAGAATGAAAGAGGAAAGAGATGTTAAAATGAATCTAATCATACAGCATTATTTAACTTCTAATTGAGAAAGGTGTGTAAAGTTCTTACATTGTTCTTGCATCTGAGTTATTTCTGGACTGTATTATGTGTGGAAGGCAATTAGTACCGGGGAAACATGCTATGTGATGTAAGAGTGGGTTATTTTAGAAGAATGGAAGAGGCAATGGCATAATAGAAGCTTTAAAATTAGCCATGCTTTAAAGACCATTTTGATCTCTTCTCATTGTGCCGTTTTAGGGGGGAGGCAAGGACATTTCCTTTAGCATGTCATGCTTGGTTGATGTTGGCTAGTGCTTTGGACCAAAATCTTTGATATCTAGTCTCATGAATGAGGTGTGTAGGGTATCAAAATGAAAACATGGTTGAACATTTTAGTTTCTGCCCATCAGATACTAATAGTTTGTGACATCTCGTTTTTTATTGTTTTGTTTTCCCCCAGTAAATCTGTATTGGGCATCTACAACACAGTGTAGGGCTTTGGTTTTGTGGCAGTAGTTGATTCAGAGGCATTTGGTTATGCCTTTATTTTGGAGGGTGATTTCAAAAACCATGGTATCTTGGAATATTACCCCTCTTTTTGTTTAAGGAAAAATACTAAACTAAAAAGCTAAGTAGGATGTTTCAAGTTTGGACTCTGAACTAGTTGCCTGTGTAGGATGATATAAGCTGAAAATATCCAGTAACTGGATGGAGGCTTTTATAGCCCTAAACTAGGTGGAATTAATGGCGAGTGCACATGTAGATTAAAGACAGATAGCATGAATTTAATACTTTTAAATATAACTATACTTTTTCTAAATTCCTAATTTGCACAGATGTGTAGAACTACCCAAGTTACGCGTTTCGGTTTTATGGTCTTATCCCAAACTTGTATCCCAACCGTGCAACATCCTCTACCTTTGCTCTCAGCTCCCTAGTTTTTGACATCATTCATCAGTTTAGTCCTGCCTTTCTTTTCACATTCTGATCTGGAAGTGTATGTTCTGTTGGCAGGAAGTGTAAATTCCTCCAGCCTGGATGAAAGTCTCTGCCTGGATAGGTTTGGAAGAGACGTGTCTTACATCAGGAATAGCATACAATTACTTCAGGGTATGCTACTCATTGGTTGTAAATGCTGGACCAGATACCATGCCAGTTAAAGAGGGAACTCTGAATGTCTCTTGGCTGTACATTTTGATTGCAGCATAGGAGCAGACCAGTTCTTCTTCTCACAGAGCTGAGCTGTGGTATACAACTCAGCTGGGTTGTTGTCACCCCAGCATGGCTGTGTAAGTCTGGATCCAAGTCCTGGTGGGTAAAGTTCCTTCAGAAATCTGCCACTTAACTTCTCAAAATGTACATCCCTGCTTTGGCAATGATGAGGAATACCCTCGTGTAGACAGCCCAGGATGGCGGATAGCTTGTTTGATTTAAATCAAGGTAATCAGCCTTTGAGGTGAGAGAGGGAGTACTGTAAAAATACCTGTCCTCACTGTGCTCCCAGTGATGGGGAAGCAGGAAGAGAAAAGTAATGCATGGATCATCAACAGAACATTCAACTGTATGCTTCAAGCTGGTGCCTGCTTATCTCTATATCCTGACGGATTTATCTTAGCACATACAGTATAATTCCTTTGCGATTTAGGTCTTAAAAATAATAAAATTATAAAAAAGAAGCTTTTAAAAAAGCCAGCAGGTAGCCTTGAAACTGCAAGAGCATGATTCAGAGGCTACAGGAGGGCCCAAGAGAGTGTAACTTACAGGCTCCTTCTGCATTTTGTGAATGTGAATGAGTTTATTGTAAACATCTGGAAAATGCATGACAGTTGCCAGTTTTTAGATCTCTGACAGGAAGTTGAGATACTTTAATCCAGGTTTAAAACTAGCTGGAAAGCTGGAATTGCCAGAGGAAGGTTGTCTTTGTTTTCTTTTTCCATTACTATGCCAGGTTTCTCGGCACTGAAGTGGAAGCAGCATTGGACTGTGTCAGAATGAAGTGACTGTGTATCTTTGCTGAAGAGTTGAATACTACCATTTTTCTGATGGTAAAGATAGTCTGCAATGCTCCTAAGTCTTTCTACTACTTTGTTGCAGTTCAGTGGCTTTTCAGCTTGGCAGTGCAGTTCCTGCATGCCTGATTTTAAACGGGGTCTCTGAAGTATTCTGGGGTTTAAGCGAGTATTGTCTAGAGTTCAGTGTAACCTTAGAGCAGTAGTGTTGGAGCACTAGGGATAGAGACAAATGGCTGAAGGGAGTAAATAACTTCTTTTTATAGACTTCTTAATTTTGGTCTGTGGTTCCCCTGCTTCCATTAAACTAGATCTCTGTATTAAGTGTGAAGAGTTTAAATAATGTGGTTTTGGAAACTTACGTGATACGTAAGTGTGTAGCTCACAAACTACATGCTGTTTATTGTTCATCCATCAGACCATTGAATTTTTCTCCAGTCACTATGGAACATTGTACTTTCTTTGGGCTTTTATTTTCTGTTCTGGTTTTGGTTCTTTTTTTTTTTTTTTTTTCCCAGTTAAAAGTTTAACAAGGGTAAAAGAGAGCTGTTTCTCTTTGAAAAAAAGGTATAAGAGAGCTCTTCACAAGCTTTTGGGCCAAAATCTCTCAAATGGCAAAATTCCCTAAAGGCTCTGTCCAGCTTTCACAGATTTTTACCATTTCTGCATCCCACAGATGCGTACGAATAGGTCCTCATAAAAAGCATTGATAAAGATAGGTGCAGTTAAATTATTGATTTATAAGATTTCAGTTATTTTCATCCACCTGTCTGTCAGCCTAATTGTGATGCTTGAAGAGAAAACACTGGTAGCGTAGATTTTCTTCTACTGCTTCTGTTGCATGTTCTTTGGGATATTCTTCAGAGTAAGAGTCAGTCGTGTTGCTGTCTAATTCTGGAAGAAGAAGTAATAAGCAAGCAGATATGTTAGCATAAGTAGGAAAGTCTTAGTCTAGTTTTTGTTATTTCTGTCATTCTTAAGAAATCCCATTGCAACGAATGTGTGAATTGCTAGAAAAATGTCTTGGCTCACTGGGAATAAGGACTTAAATCCTTCGTATCTGAATTGCAGTACTTGATGTTTCTGCTTTAGCACTAGAGTAGAAATGAAGAACAGAGTTCATCTAAATGATGAAGAGAGTTCTTCATAATCGTGCATCTTTTCAGACAACCTAGAGCGGGCATTAACATTTCTTGTTAATGGCTCACATAGACCCGAAGTGTGCAGCAAGGGAAAGCCAAATTCTGTTACAACAACAATTCATGCTGTCCAGTGTGTCAGATCATTCAGCGATGCAACTGTTTGTGCCTGTGGCTTAGTTGCCAGAATTATTTAAATAGGCAGAGCTTCTGGAGTGAGAGGATGTCAAACTAGGGCCCTGATGGTCATAAACGTGATAAAGCTGAGGCCACCAAATAATAGGCAGTGCTCTTTCCTGTTTTTAGCTATGGGAGGAATTTATGCTGTGACCAATTGTATGATTTTTATTTTTTTTTTAATATATGAAATCTCAGTGTTAATCTGAGCCTTAAAGCCTGAAAACCCAAGAGGATGGAAAAACAAGTCTCTGTTGAGGTTCTGGTTTCTCTCTGTCTGCTGAGTACGTGTACTTTTATGAACTGTTTGAAATGCTTCTGAAAGAGGAATAGCTTTCCCTTTCCTATGGTTTCTGCCTCAAATATATGAAGCTGCTAAGTACAAAAATACACTTTTTCAAAGTAATCTATATCCATTGTTT